TAGAAAAATGACAGGATGGATAATGAGAACCTTCAAAACTAGGGAGGCCAAGCCCATGATGACACTCTTCAGGTCACTTGTTCTATCTAGGCTGGAATATTGCTGCACACTAACAGCACCTTTCAAGGCAGGTGAAATTGCCGACCTAGAAAATGTACAGAGAACTTCACGGCGCGCATAACGGAGATAAAACACCTCAATTACTGGGAGCGCTTGAGGTTCCTAAACCTGTATTCCCTGGAACGCAGGAGGGAGAGATACATGATTATATACCCCTGGAAAATCCTAGAGGACTAGTACCGAACTTGCACACGAAAATCACTCACTACGAAAGCAAAAGATTTTGGCAGACGATGCACCATCCCCCCAATGAAAAAGCAGGGGTGTCACTAGCACGTTAAGAGACCATACAATAAGTGTCAGGGGCCCGAGACTGTTCAACTGCCTCCCAGCACACATAAGGGGGATTACCAACAGACCCCTGGCAGTCTTCAAGCTGGCACTGGACAAGCACCTAAAGTCAGTTCCTGATCAGCCGGGCTGTGGCTCGTACGTTGGTTTGCGTGCAGCCAGCAGCAACAGCCTGGTTGATCAGGCTCTGATCCACCAGGAGGCCTGGTCACAGACCGGGCCGCGGGGGCGTTGACCCCCGGAACTCTCTCCAGGTAATAAGCAAAGGAGAACACGGTGCTGTTGCTTACTTCTCTGTCTGTCAGATATGAGGAAAAGGATGAGAACAAGTACTGTACCATGCGGAACACAGCTTTTTACTGTAGCCGCCTCTGACTTTACTCTGTTTATTAGTACTCTTTATGTTCTGTTTGTTAGGAAATTATAGATCCATCTACCCACTTTTCCTGTTATTCCTTTATCACGCATTTTGTGTGCTATTACGCAATGATCGCACTTGTCGAAGGCTTTCTCTAAAACTCTCGCTTCACACGGCGAGGGTCTGCGTTCGATTCCTAGCGCGGGTAGAAACATTGGGCGTGTTTCTTTACACCGGTTGTCTGTGTTCGCCCATCAGTAAAATGGGTACCTGGGTGTTAGTGGACTGGTGTGGGTCGCATCCGGGGACAAGGACCTAATTTGCGGGAAATGCTTAGCATAAGCGGCTTTCTATATAGCAGTATGTCATTGATGTCAGGTATGGTCTGTATACTTTATATTATTATTATTATTATAAGCAAACCACAGTACGAGTGGGGATTGAACTCAGCTGGCTTAGTGGCTTACGCGCTGGCCTAGAGTTTTACGACTTGCTTGTCGCGAGTTCAATTCTCACCTGTACCATGGTTTCCAATCGTGTCATTACGATTTCGTGAGTCAATCTGCACACTGTTTGTTCTCCAATGCTTCCAAGACCACGTCACAGTGGTCCAGTAGTTGTGAGAGGTATGAGCGACCTGCTCTAAACCCATGCTGCCCTGGCTTGTGAAATTGTTGGGTATCCAAGTGGTTGGCGATCTTGCTTCTTACAACCTATTCAATGATTTTTATGATGTGGGACTTATAATAATGTATATTGTGTATACACACAATATACAGTGGTAGTGGTGTATACACACAATATACAGTGGTAGTGGTGTATACACATATACAATAGTAGTGGTGTATACATACAGTGGTAGTGGTGTACACAGTGGTAGTGATGTGCACATACAGTGGTAGTGATGTGCACATAGTGGTAGTGGTGTATACACACAATATACAGTGGTAGTGGTGTATACACATAATATACAGTGGTAGTGGTGTATACACATAATATACGGTGGTAGTGGTGTATACACATAATATACAGTGGTAGTGGTGTATACACACAATATACAGTGGTAGTGGTGTATACACACAATATACAGTGGTAGTGGTGTATACACATAATATACAGTGGTAGTGGTGTATACACATAATATACGGTGGTAGTGGTGTATACACATAATACGGTGGTAGTGGTGTATTACACACAATATACAGTGGTAGTGGTGTATACACATAATATACGGTGGTAGTGGTGTATACACACAATATACAGTGGTAGTGGTGTATACACATAATATACGGTGGTAGTGGTGTATCACACAATAACAGTGGTAGTGTGTATACACATAATAACGGTGGTAGTGGTGTATACACACAATATACAGTGGTAGTGGTGTATACACATAATATACAGTGGTAGTGGTGTATACACATATACAATAGTAGTGGTGTATACATACAGTGGTAGTGGTGTACACAGTGGTAGTGATGTGCACATACAGTGGTAGTGATGTGCACATAGTGGTAGTGGTGTACACATAGTGGTAGTGATGTGCACATACAGTGGTAGTGATGTGCACATAGTGGTAGTGGTGTACACATAGTGGTAGTGATGTGCACATACAGTGGCAGTGATGTGCACATACAGTGGCAGTGATGTGCACATACAGTGGCAGTGATGTGCACATACAGTGGCAGTGATGTGCACATACAGTGGCAGTGATGTGCACATACAGTGGCAGTGATGTGCACATACAGTGGCAGTGATGTGCACATACAGTGGCAGTGATGTGCACATACAGTGGCAGTGATGTGCACATACAGTGGTAGTGGTGTACACATAGTGGTAGTGATGTGCACATACAGTGGCAGTGATGTGCACATACAGTGGCAGTGATGTGCACATACAGTGGCAGTGATGTGCACATACAGTGGCAGTGATGTGCACATACAGTGGTAGTGGTGTACAAGAAGAGAGTGTCAAGCAAGAGAATTTGCAAAGCTGCTTGGAGATGACTGTCAAAGGTTCAAAGCTGCTTGGAGGTGACTGTCAAAGGTTCAAAGCTGCTTGGAGGTGACTGTCAAAGGTTCAAAGCTGCTTGGAGATGACTGTCATAAATTCACAGCTGCTTGGAGGTGACTGTCAAAGGTTCAAAGCTGCTTGGAGGTGACTGTCATAAATTCACAGCTGCTTGGAGGTGACTGTCAAAGGTTCAAAGCTGCTTGGAGGTGACTGTCAAAGGTTCAAAGCTGCTTGGAGGTGACTGTCAAAGGTTCAAAGCTGCTTGGAGGTGACTGTCAAAGGTTCAAAGCTGCTTGGAGGTGACTGTCAAAGGTTCAAAGCTGCTTGGAGGTGACTGTCATAAGTTCCAAGTATGAGTTAGAAGTTAAGAGTTTAAGCCATGAGGACATAAACTACGGCAATATAAGAGCATATACAAAAAACGATATAAATAAAGTACTGAGGATGTCCAATCAAATAAGAACCAGAAATAACGGTTTTAAGTTAGATAAATTCAAATTTAGAAAGAGCATAGGTAAATACTGGTTTTCAAACAGAGTTGTGGACGCGTAGAACAATCTGTCGAGTAGGGTAGTACAGGCTAAGACATTAAGTAGCTTTAAAAAGAGATTGGACAAATAGAGTGAAAAGGGTTGGGTTTGATTAGTACCCGAAGTACTGAAGCAAATTCTTAGGTACCTTTGGGAAACCGTTGGATTGTTGGTTTACAAAAACACATATTTATTAGAAAACGCTTCAGTCCTGGGACCTTGATAAAGGTCCCAGGACTGAAACGTTTTCTAATAAAGGTCCCAGGACTGAAACGTTTTCTGATAAAAGTAACTGAAACGCTTTCTAATAAAGGTCCCAGGACTGAAACGTTTTCTGATAAAAGTAACTGAAACGTTTTCTAATAAAGGTCCAAGGACTGAAACGTTTTCTAATATATTTGCTTACGTGTTTTTCTAAACCAGCTTGTCGGTATTTATTACCAGGTTTATACCACCAAAAGGTTGGATAATTTCCTGGGTGGCCTTGTATGGGACAGTAGGCCTGCTACAGTGTTCCACCATTCTTATGTTTATATTTATGTCCCTCTTGGCGGATACCAGAAGAATACACACGAACCATAACACAGGAGGGCGAAGTGGGAGTACATGGGTAAGACAAGTATCAAGGTTATCTGCTAAGAGGAACTATGTATCTCTTCCTGGATTAAGGACTATCATATATTATATCTGTGTTTGTGGCAAGTGAAGAACACCAGTAATAACACACAAGAAAACAGCAGAACAGATATAACACCATAAAATAGTAGTAGAACGGATATAATAACAGGCCATACAACAGCGTGGGCTGTGTTTCGTACGTTGGACTACGTGCGGCGCGGCGATCAGTAACAGCTTAGTTGATCAAGCATTGATCCACCGGGAGGCCTTGTCATGGACCGGGCCGCGGGGCGTTGATCCCAGGAATACCCTCCAAGTAGACCCTGTGTTGGGTTATGTTGTGACGGGCGTAGGACACCTTGTGTTTGGTTCTGTTGTGATGGGCGTGGGACACCCTGTGTTTGGTTCTGTTGTGATGGGCGTGGGACACCCTGTGTTTGGTTCTGTTGTGACGGGTGTGGAACATCCTGTGTTTGTTTCTGGGTTGACGGGCGTGGGACACTGTGGGTGGGAGTGTGTTGTGATGGGCGTGAACCACACTGTGAGGTGGGAGTATGCTACCGATGGGCGTGAGAAGCACTGTGAGTGAGAGTATGCTATGATGGGCGTGAAACACACTGTGGGTGGGAGTGTGTTTTGATGGACGTGGGACACTGTAAGTGGGAGTATGCTATGATGGGCGTGGGATAGCTACAGTGGGTGGGAGTGTTGTGATGGGCGTGGAGCACTGTAAATGAGTGTGTTGTGATGGACGTAGGACACTGTGGGTGGGAATGTTGTGATGGGCGTGGGACACTGTGAGTGGGAGTATTCTGTGATGGACATGGGACACTACGGGTGGGAGTATGCTATGATGGCCGTGGGACACTGTGAGTGGGAGTATTCTATGATGGACATGGGACACTACGGGTGGGAGTATGCTGTGATGGGCGTGGGACACTGTTAGTGGGAGTATTTTGTGATGGGCGTGGGACACTGTGGGTGGGAGTATGCTATGATGGGCGTGGAACACCCTGTGGTTGGGCGTGTTTGTTATTTGGTGGAACGTCCTGGGAGGCATTTAGACTCACCTTGTCGTCGTGGGCGGCAGGGTTGGCCCTAGGTCTGGGCGGCAGGTCGGCGCGGAAGGGTTGGGGTGGTGGAGGTGCAGGGTGGGAGTCTTCAGCATGAAGAACCTCCATGAGGTAGGCGATGTAGGAGGTTGCCAGACGCAGAGTCTTAATCTTGGAGAGTTTAGTGTCTGCAGGAACGTTAGGGATACACTCGCGCAGCTCAGCGAATGCGTTGTTGATACTCTGAGTTCGACGACGTTCCTTCTTGTTGGCTGACGTCTTCCGACGCACAACGCGACCGTAAGAGTCGATAAGTTCGTCGCCGTCCCAGTAGTGCGGCGGACACGGCGGCAGGACGCTGCCGTCAGCGTAGGTGACTAGAGGTGGACATGGCGGCGCTGGTGCGTTCTGCGCTCCACAGAAGTCTGGAGTGTGATGGTGGTAGTGATGGTGGTGGTGATGGGGATGTGCGGGCCATTGCGGCGGTGGTGGTGGTGGTGGTGGCGGCTGCGGCGGCGCAGGGTAGCCGCAGTAAGGGTAACCTGGCCACCCGCCTTCACACCCTGATGACATTGTCCAGACTCCAGCCAACACACCAGAACACCTGAGCCGCCACGTGAGTGTAAGTAACCCTCAGTTCACCCGTGACATCACAGTAGGGGGCGGAGTCACCATCTGACGTCATACAGAGGGCGTGGCACTCGCGGAAGGTGGAGCAAAAGGCGGAGCTTCAGGGCTAGTGGGCGGGGTCATGGAGGTGACGTCACAGCCACAGCAGTAATGGAGGGCAGACAGACACACTGACTCACACCTTTACTTCACGTCTTAAAACCATGTGTGATTCGCTAATGTCGCTCTCCTCTACTTTCCTAGTTTTCTTATATCATACAATTCTCACCATGAGAGGTGCAACCTTCCCTATAAATTCGTGTTCTCCTTTCATGTGTGTAGTCCTGAAGAGGATCCCAGAAGGGAGTCGAATTATACAGATCAATTAACCTCATGAGTTTCTGTCTCCATGTGGGTTATTATTGTGCATCTTTCAGAATTTCTAGATTATTTTTTCATTTATATGTTGATTTAAAATTTTACGTGGTTTCATATAACTCCCTTTAGTGGTATTGCATGCATCGACCGACGGGAGATTTTTACAATATTTAAAAGTCGCAGAACAGGCGAAATATTCACAAACACTAATCTCTGGTCGAAGGAGACTCGAAAACACGAACCTTGGGACAAGGTACTCAGTGCTCTAACCACCATACCACACTGGACCAATACCTTGGAGTCCAGCCAACGCTGCGCTTACCCAAAATTCGAACCCATGTTGTTTCGGCTCGCCTCATGGTGAGCGAAAATCGGCTAGTCGCAGTGTTGTTATGGATTCAGTACCATTCGTTCGTGGTTACAATAGTATATATACTGCTCGTGAAGGCTGGTACACGGGGATTAGAATTAAATTAGCTCAGAGGCACCCACACCACAATAAGTCCTCGGATCAAGGTAAAACACCTAGCTCTGCTTGGTGCTTGATTCTTGAGGATTGTGTGGTTCTGTGGGTTAGAGCGTCATATGATTTTCGCTCACCATAAGGCGGGTCAAAACGACATGGGTTCGAATCCTCAGCTAGTTGCATTGTTGTTAGTGATTCAATACTCGTTCGTTCGTTCAGACGATATTTTTTTAATGTTTCTGCGACCATCATCAGAAATAAGAAAAAATGAGTTAACACAAGCTGTCATTGCTATTTTAAAATTATAAAAAGATTCTGTAATAACGTGTGCACTTATACCCGTCACCCTGCAGCCACGACCCATCACTGAAGCCACGACCCGTCACCCTGCAGCCACGACCCATCACCCTGCAGCCACGACCCATCCCTGAAGCCATGACCCATCACCCTGCAGCCACGACCCATCACTGCAGCCACGACCCATTACCCTGCAGCCACGACCCATCCCTGAAGCCACGACCCATCACCCTGCAGCCACGACCCATCCCTGAAGCCACGACCCATTACCCTGCAGCCATGACCCATCACTGAAGCCACGACCCATCACCCTGCAGCCACGACCCATCACTGAAGCCACGACCCATCACCCTGCAGCCACGACCCATCACTGAAGCCACGACCCATCACCATGCAGCCACAACCCATCACTGAAGCCACGACCCATCACCCTGCAGCCACGACCCATCACTGAAGCCACGACCCATCATCCTGCAGCCACGACCCATCACTGAAGCCACGACCCATCACCCTGCAGCCACGACCCATCACTGCAGCCACGACCCATCACTGCAGCCACGACCCATTACTGAAGCCACGACCCATCACCCTGCAGCCACGACCCATTACCCTGCAGACACGACCCATCACAAGCCACGACCCATCACCCTGCAGCCACGATCCATCACTGAAGCCACGACCCATCACCCTGCAGCCACGACCCATCACTGAAGCCACGACCCATCACCCTGCAGCCATGACCCATCACTGAAGTCACGACCCATCACCCTGCAGCCACGACCCATCACTGAAGACACGACCCATCACCCTGCAGCCACGACCCATCACTGAAGCCACAACCCATCACCCTGCAGCCACGACCCATCACAAGCCACGGCCCATCACCCTGCAGCCACGACCTATCACTGAAGCCACGACCAATCACCCTGCAGCCACGACCCATCACTGCAGCCACGACCCATCACTGAAGCCAAGACCCATCACCCTGCAGCCACGACCCATCACTGAAGCCACGACCCATCACTGCAGCCACGACCCATCACCCTGCAGCCACGACCCATCACTCTGCAGCCACGACCCATCACCCTGCAGCCACGACCCATCACCCTGCAGCCACGACCTATCACTCTGCAGCAGCGACCCATCACCCTGCAGCCAGAACCCATCACCCTGCAGCCACGACCCATCACCCTGCAGCCACGACCATCACCCGCCAGCCACGACCCATCACCCTGCAGCCACGTCCCATCACCCTGCAGCCACGTCCCATCACCCTGCAGCCACCACCCGTCACCCTCCAGCAGCGACCCATCACCCTGCAGCCACGACCCATCACCCTGCAGCCACGTCCCAGCATCCTGCAGCCACCACCCGTCACCCTCCAGCAGCGACCCATCACCCTGCAGCCACGACCCATCACCCTGCAGCCACGACCCATCATCCTGCAGCCACCACCCGTCACCCTCCAGCAGCGACCCATCACCCTGCAGCCACGACCCATCACCCTGCAGCCATGACCCGTCACCCTCCAACAGCGACTCATCACCCTGCAGCCACGACCCATCACCCTGCAGCCACGATCCATCACCCTGCAGCCACGACCCATCTTTCTGCAGCCACGACCCGTCACCCTCCAGCAGCGACCCATCACTGCAGCCACGACCCGTCACCCTGCAGCCTCGACCCATCACTCTGCAGCCACGACCCGTCACCCTGCAGCCACGACCTATCACTCTGCAGCCACGACTCGTCACCCTCCAGCAGCGACCCATCACCCTGCAGCCACGACCATCACCCTGCAGCCACGACCCATCACCCTCCAGCGACCCATCACCCTGCAGCCATGGCCCATCACCCTCCAGCAACGACCCGTCACCCTGCAGCCATGACCCATCACCCTGCAGCCACTGCCTATCACCCTCCAGCAACGATCCATCACCCTCCAGCCACGGCCCATCACCCTCCAGCAACGACCCGTCACCCTGCAGCTACGACCCATCTCCCTGCAGCCACGGCCCATCACCCTCCAGCAACGACCCGTCACCCTGCAGCAACGACCCGACACCCTCCAGCCACGGTCCGTCACCCTCGAGCAACGACCCGTCACCCTCCAGTAACGACCCGACACCCTCCAGCCACGGTCCATCACCCTGCAGCCACGACCCATCACCCTCCAGTAACGACCCGTCACCCTGCAGCCACGACCCATCACCCTCCAGTCACGACCCGTCACCCTGCAGCCACGACTCATCACCCTGCAGCCACGACCCATCACCCTCCAGTAACGACCCGTCACCCTGCAGCCACGACTCATCACCCTGCAGCCACGACCCATCACCCTCCAGTAACGACCCTTCACCCTGCAGCCACGACCCATCACCCTCCAGTCACGACCCGTCACCCTGCAGCCACGACTCATCACCCTGCAGCCACGACCCATCACCCTGCAGCCACGACTCATCACCCTGCAGCCACGACTCATTACCCTGCAGCCACGACCCATCACCCTGCAGCCACCACTCATCACCCTGCAGCCACGACCCATCACCCTGCAGCCACGGCCCATCACCCTCCAGCCACGACTCATTACCCTGCAGCCACGACCCATCACCCTGCAGCCACGACCCATCACCCTGCAGCCACGACTCATCACCCTGCAGCCACGACCCATCACCCTGCAGCCACGGCCCATCACCCTCCAGCCACGACTCATTACCCTGCAGCCACGACCCATCACCCTGCAGCCACTACCCATCACCCTGCAGCCACGACCCATCACCCTCCAGCCACGACTCATTACCCTGCAGCCACGACCCATCACCCTGCAGCCACGGCCCATCACCCTCCAGCCACGACCCATCACCCTGCAGCCACGGCCCATCACCCTGCAGCCACGGCCCATCACCCTCCAGCCACGACCCATCACCCTGCAGCCACGGCCCATCACCCTCCAGCCACGACCCATCACCCTGCAGCCACGGCCCATCACCCTCCAGCCACTACCCATCACCCTCCAGTCATGACCCATCACCCTCCAGCCACTACCCATCACCCTCCAGCCACGACCCATCACCCTCCAGCCACTACCCATCACCCTCCAGTCACGACCCCTCACCCTCCAGTCACGAGCGAAACGTGTCGGCGTCAGCGTGTATTCGTTCTTTGCTAATTGTAACTCTGTTTACATTTAAAGAATGTCGTTTCAGATTCAAACATACAACATTTCATATCAGTTTTGTTGCTCTTAGCCATTATTATTATATAGTGAGTGATCAGAGCAAACGTAGAGTGGAAGGTAGATCCTGTTTAAAGAGTCTGCAGTAAAATGCGTTATTGTGATGGCATACCAATTTGTAAGATTATATAAAGGGGAATCATATTTTACAGCGACGAGCACAGCCATATTACTGATAAAGGTGACGTCACAGAGGAGCCGCTATCAGCTGATTTATGATTGGTGCGCTTTCAGAGAGACAAGTGACGTCAGTGTTCGCAGCTGTGGTCACAAGGGTATTGAGTAGATGAAGGAATTCCTGTGCATGTATTAAGAAGGTTTCGAATTCAGTTTGTTGCATACATGCAGTCTGGAGAACATTGTATAAGCAAGTATCGTGGGAAGATGCCTGAGAGGTGGGCCCTTGTGCTCTCTGTCTCTGTCTGTCTTCTCTCTCTCTCTCTCTCCCTCTCCCGCCTCCCTCTCTCGTCCTTCCTCCCTCCCTTTGTCTCTGTCTCTGTCTCTCTCTGTCTCTGTCTCTGTCTCTGTCTGTCTGTCTGTCTGTCTCTGTCTGTCTCTCTCTCTCTCTCTCCTTCACTTTAAGATTCAACAGAATTAATTAAGATTAGGAGTACCTAA